ACCCATCTACTAGGGCAGCTAGCCAATCCCTATTGCAGATGCTCGCTCAGGCACATTTGCATTTATTCAACACTCACAGAGCCCAACTGTGGTTTATACTGCAATCATGCTGAGCTACAGTTAGTTTCTGGAAGAGAGCATGTTATCTAACGTGATCAACAATTTGAACAAGGCCAGCACGCACAAGCCCTCGACCATGATGACTTGTGGATTCGTGCCAGCACAGATTTCAATAGCCCTCAATGGTTCCATCTACCCAATTTCACTCACAAGGCTTGGGCCAATTAGTCGTATGGTTTTTCAGACAGTTTCCAAAGGTGCCACACACTGGGACTGACCTTGATCCATTCCAATAACATCAGGAAGTCTCCTTCCTAACAAATTGACCATAGGGAGCTTCAAACCCGGGTCTCATAGAAAGCAAACGCTCTAACCACTCAGCCCCACACATTATATATTATACATACACACACTGCTGACCATAGTCATGTGACAATGTGAAATTTTCATATTGCGTATTATCACACATGCGTATATAATTGTTGCCTGAATTTTGAAGTCATTAGTCAACACTATAGTGCTTACTGCAACAAAATAAAATAACAGTGGTTCATGGGCATCATACAGTATTTTCTAACTAATCACTAAAGATGAAAAACGCCACACGACTGAAGAAAAGTTTATCATTTTGTCTACATATTTTTTGCCGTTAACAGTACAATGCTGCACCTGACCCACAGAAAATAACACGATAAAATCAATTCCTCCTCAGCAATGTTTATTGGTAAACTGGCAAAAAAACTTTAAACAATACTATGTAGTATTTTACAAACAAATGAATTTCCCATAGAACTTAAGAATTATGTCTTCTAAATTTCTAAAAGACGAAAAAGCTAATCAAAAACTGTTATTTACAAAGCTACTAGAAACTTATTTTAACAGTTTCTACTCTTGCACTTCTTGCTTGTGGAACTCCCAACTTCTTGCTTCCAATCAACTTCTATCTTCAAAAATGTAAATGACTTGTCAATTGTTATCTTCTGTCTTCTTAATGGTGTCTCCCCTTACCCTCAATCATATTCTCTAACACTCAGTAACCCTTGCATCTTTGTGGCTTTATTGCCTTGCTTGGGATGAAATGATTAAAAAAAAAAAAAAAAATTCATAAGATGAAATATTTGCAGTATGTTCAGCAATTCTTCAAGGAGAAAAACATCCCCCTTACAAATCTACTATCATGTGTAACTAATAGAGCACTATCAATGAGTGGTCATGATCAGGATTTGTAAGTTACTTGAAAAAGGTTGTAGCAAATGTTACAAGTAGTTACTGTAGGATTCATTGCCAGCATCTCATTGTAAAATTCACCGTTATAATTGCCGTGAATAAAACAAAAATCATCCTCTTAATGATTGCATATTTTGGCAGCTTTGCATTAGAAATGACAAAGATTTCAAGCAATTAATATTTCAGACTAAAGTTCAGTAGCTATTCAAAAGTAACAGCTCACAATGATTGTATGAATTATTTAATAGACGTTTGTACATTTTTCTTGAAGATAACAACAAAAAGAGTGGCAGTGAACAAAAAAAATCTGATGTTTATTTAGCAGGTCATTTTACAAATGCAAAGACAGGACATAGTATTCATCACCAAATCCATCGTTTCCATAGTCACTTTAAAAACACTTTTTCAATGTAATCTTGGGTGACATGACTTGCATCATTTGCCTAAACTGTATGAATTTGACAAAACAAATAATAAATAATATTTTTATAGTCACCTAGAGAGGGTTGAAGACTTATCATTGCAAGTCTAATAAACCCATTTTTAAATATCAATGATATCTTTGACACTGACTGAAGAACTACAGAATGACAGGCTTAAAGTCAAGATTTAAAATCTCTTACAAAAGGGAATTTATGCCTCCTAATAAAAAAAAAACTAAACAAAAAAATAACAGACATAATAAATTACCAACAAGCTCATCCTCCTCATTCTCTATTTATCAATTTAGGTATAAATTTGATACTATTACTCTTATTTTTAGTTTGGTTGATTTTGCTTAGTGGAATATCAAGCTATATGTGCTATTTAAACCTGAAATCTAAATATTTTGTATGGCTTCAGCCACAGATATTTTATACTTTCAGGGTAAATATGTTGCTTTAGTAATATAGTTTGTAGATGATAAAAATGTACTGTTGGTAATTTTTTTTTTTTTTTTTTAATAAAAATGTATTGTTAAACTTTTTTTTTTTAAGTGTTGCATTGTCAGTCATTTTACTATGAAAATGTATTTTTATATTTTCCTAGTGTTTTGATTTTTGTTTGGAGATTCACTATTTGCCCATAGCTGGGACCCTAACAGGTGCTACCACCCCGGGTTAGGGTGGACCTGGGAACAACAAGTGATTCTATGCTCCTCAAAAACTCCAATTTCCCAATCAGAGGCCTTGCTGCAAGATGTTGTCTATAATCATACCCAGGGTTATCTTTTATTTTTACTTATATAATCTTATGCAATAAACTTATTACTAGTTTTCTTTTGTCTGGTTTGTCAGTTTTATGAAATAATGAATGTTTTTTTTACTAACATTCATCTAAAATCTTTTATGATCCATGGACAATATTCAGGTAAAATTCACAAAAATATTTTTATGTAGAGAAATCAATTGAAATGGTAAAAATTGCATATAAATAAAAATATACAAATAAAAGAAAAAAATTTATATAAATAGTTCAAAATGTGACTAACCTGGAACTTATAGATTGCCATTCTAACTGCAGAAAGGCTGCTATATCTATTTTAGTCATTTCAATAACTGACTGATTTTCTTTAATTAAAGTTTTCAAAGTTCTGAAAGGGAAAAAGATAAAATTTAGTTTACTGTTTTGGCAAAATGTTTATTCAACATTTCAGTGTTAATATAAGAGGGAGCGGAAAACCTTTTGGCCATAGTGATTAAAAAAAATTCTGTTGTTTAGTCAGATTCTTTAAAGTGATTTGGATCAACATCTTTTCAACACTTGTGTATCCACACAGGTACAAAAAATCAAAACTCAAAGCCAATGTCATCTAAGAAATCACTTGCCCATTTAAAGAAGTGTCTCTCTAATAATAGCAATTCAAACATATACATTGGTTACACAATTACTCCATTCTCATGCTAGTTAACTTGTCATTATCCAATAATGGATCAATTAAATCACCCATCACCAAACACTTCAACAAAAATGCAGATCACAAAAACCTTTACCAATAACACAAAAACACTACAGTATGTAAACTAAAAATATAAAAAAAAAAAAAAAACAAAGTACACAGAAATTTTAACCATAAAAACAAACAAAAGTCATCAAAAGAATTTAATTCAATTTATGAGCAAACATTAAATGTTTCATAATAATAAAACACCATAAAATGATGCATGAAGACGCAATACTTGAAAAATAAAATAAGTAATCCAGACATGACAGCCACTGACACACAAAGAACAAGAAGAGACAAAAATTACCAAAGAAAAACAATGGATATGAATAGAGAAGTGGATCAAGACAAAAATAAGTCTCTTAATAATGGCTTCATGAAAGCTGAAAGTGCTCAGGTGACATTGAACATTATTGGTTGCTCTATCAGCTCACTGACACACACACACATATATATATATATTATATACACACACGATAAAAAGATAGTTTTAAGGTGATATAGTTATGGGTAGAAGTGACCAATATCAGAGAGAGTGAATATAAATATAAACCAATACCTTAAGCTAAACAAGATACCCCACTCCCAAATTAAAGAAAAAAAAAAATCTAAAAGAAACAAATGCACACAAACACAAGTAAATGTAATAACAATAAACAACAACAAATTAAATAAAACAATAATAAATAACAAGTAAAAAGTTAAGACTATGAAATAGGTATAAATAGCTGTATTCGAATCCACAATTATTTCTATTTGATAGCCTCTAGAATAATTTGAATCCTACTGAATAATTGTGATAATAATACAACACACCTTACGACCCATAATGCACCACACATGGCCTGAAGAATGCAATGAAGCATGAAACTGTTGTCGCTTGGTGCTCACCTCAGTGTGTGTGTGTTTGTTATTCTAATGATAAATGCAAGAATCTGAAAACTTCATATAACAGTCACTGGATTTTTTTTTTCCACTACATCCATTAACCCCCCCACATCATTTTATGAAATTTTGAGAAATTAAAATTACTTCCTCTTCATACTTATCTAATAAAAAGCAGGAATCCTTGGAAAATTTAAATCAACATTTTTTTTTTTGTTAAACTAAAACATTATCTACCAAAAATCAGGTCTGAATTGTAAAATAAAAATTACAATAAAACTATTGACATCATTTAATTAGAAACATTTTTAATTGCTTTTAGAAATAAGATTTATCAAGGAGAATATTGTCTTAAAAAATGTTTTTCAATGAATAAAGAATTTTTACAAGAATTGTTTACATTTTTAAAAAATTTTAATTAGAATAATTTATTAAATTTTAAATCTTAAAATTCTGTATTAATATCATCTAAAAGGGATGAAATTAAGTAAAAACTATATTTACTAATCAAAAAGAAATGTAAAAGCTTAGTACAAATCATCAAAGACAATTATTTTTAAAAGAATTTTGAATTTTTTTGTATGTGTGTACACGTGTTGATTTTTGTAGATACAGTTGTTCATACATAACATTATCATAAAATAAGAGTGATAATTATAGTAAATTTAAAGCCAAAAAGTATCTAAAATTCAATAAAACATTAGATTAACAAGAATATTTCCCAAATTTTTAGGATTACTGGGTACTTAAAAATTACATATAACAAACACTCACATTATTTCAATTATTTTTTTACAGCTAGAGCCCTCCTGAAACAACATTAAATAATTATCAATCCGTCATTAAGCTGTCAAACAGGTTAACTGCTTAAATAAACAGCTACCGCTGTGTTAAAAAATGCATTTGGGCAATATTTTAAACTTAAAGTAAATAATATTTGTTTCAAATCAGATTAATTATACTTATACCATCTAATATTCAATTGAAGTTTCAGAAAAGTATATTTTATTTTGGAAAAAAAAAAAAAAAAAAAAAAAAACACAAACCTCTTTCCAGTCAAATTAGTTTTTGAAATACAGCAAAGTATTTTGATTATTGGAAATATTAAATTTAATTTATTAGCTTGAAATTCAAACTAAAATAAAAGCTTCAAGATAGATTTTTCATTTTCAAAAAGACATTTTAAATCTGAGGTATTGCATTTTCTGTGGTGGTACATAGTAAATATTCAAAAGCATACTAAAATTGTTTGGTAAAAATTTGTTACTGATTCATAAACTAACATTATGGCGGAGTGAAAAAAAAAACAAAAAAAAACAAAAAACAAACAAAGGGAGAAAACAAAAAATGCCAATTATGATGATGCTACTTTGAACAACTTTGGAGACACAGTGGAGTAGTGAATAGTGGCTTGGATTGAGGAATCAGAGAGCCAAGTTCAAATTCCAGTCAAATCCATTACATTTACTTATATGCTAATACCCTTGGAGAAAAGTATTAATTCTCTTCTCTTTCCAGCTATGGGGAAATAGCGGGATAGACTGGTTTCTATAGCCTTGGATGGTAACTGGTCTAGGAGAAGTACGACTCTGAATTCAAAACCTGAGGACGGTCTTTTGGGTATCTTGTGGCATGTAGTGAACCAGGTCTCTGTATTCAGCCCTTCAAATGTGTTGTTGGTTCTGCACAAAGCCTTCCCCACTATAATCAAATCATATGTGCTGATGTCTGGGCTGTCAGTTCCTAGGAACTGAGTTGCTTGACCCTCATGCGTTGAATACAATGAGAGAGTCCACCACTTTGAACAAATGAAAGCAAACTTGACCATTGAAAACACACACATTGTGTGTGTGTGTGTGTGTATATATATATATAAAGTTTAGTTTTATGGTTAGGATTAGTGTTGCAAGTGTTGACAAAAAAAAAATTAAACAATTTTTGTTCAGGATTATAAAATTACAAAGTATATGCTCTACTAGCAAATAATAAAGTTCATCAAATACATTTTTGTGGTTCTTGGTCTTCCTTCATCTGATTTATATCATATGTCTGTTATTTTGTCTGAACTATTTGAATATTAATGACCCTTCTCATATCAAAATATCCGTTGTTTGTGGGAATATTTATATTTTGTCTAAGAATGTGAACCAGTTATTGCCAATTAGGCCCCTGCTTTATTTTTTTTTTTCGTGCAAGTTTTTTGCACTCTTTGTTTTTTTGAGTAGCATATGTTGAAATGAATTTTTAATACTCAAAATACTATATCACTAACCATTTTCTGTTCAGTTGCTCATTGCCCAGGTTGGGAAACTGATATAAACCATGTGATGTTTTATATATCTCTGCTAAGTGGACAATGATTGCTGCAGAGTCCATCTACAAAACTCTAGAGTTAGGATGCTGAAGGCAACACCAATCAGCTGACAAACTTTATATTTGTATTAATTCTTATATATATATATATATACCCCCTCTTTGAAATCAATGAGAAACAATGGCACCAATAAGCAAATTTACTTTATGTTAATAACACAATAATGAAGATCTCATTAATAAGTAGGAGAGACCAGGCTGCTTATGCATTGCATTTGATTTTTGTTTTGGATATTTCTACTTTAAAAAAAAAAAAAAAAAAAAAAAAAAAAAAATCTTTGTAACTCATTAAAAGTGACAAGAGTTAATTATATACTATACAGATCTTACATAATGCATGCAGAAAATAGAACCAAAGCAAATTAAAAATTACTTATATTCGGTTTGTTTTGTAATGGTATGGCTAAATTAGTATATATAACCTACATACAGTCCTATAGTTACATTACCAATCAAAATTTTGTGAAGCCTTGCAGTAGCAATGCAAGTTAATGTGTTACTTTCCTATCAAACAGGAACATCATAAGTTTTACACCAGTGTTTCTAAAGATTTTTTAAGCAATGGCACACCTAGGAGGAAATGAAACTATCACAGCACACTTAGCTCCATTTTAAATTACATGTACATGAAAGGGCAATAAAATATTACTATGAAAAAAAATTAAAAAAAAATAAAACAACAATTTCAGTACAATTAATGTTATTTTCATTTTATACAAATCTCAGAGTATTAATATACTTTTAAAAAAATTGCAAAAATTATTAAATCAAATGCTCAATACTGCATATCGGATACTTTGATAAAATTAGTTCAATATAATTTTGTAAACATTTTGAATTAATGTTGAATTCAATTATATGAAAAAACATTAATATTCATTTATTCAAATAAAAAAAATTTTTAAAAAGTTAAAATAAAAAATACTTTTTAAAAAATAAATATTAAAACAAAGTATTTAGAATAACATAATTGAAGAATAGCGGAAAGAATTATTTGAAAAAAGTTCAATACTTATTCATTTATTCAAACATTAACACCGTACGATTACTACTACTACCACACACACATTGTGACAATATTTTGCAGTACACTAAATGTGCCACAATACAGTGATTGAGAATTGCCGTTTTAGACAGATCAGAAAATAACATATTTCCACTTATTAAAAAAGAAAAGATTTTAATTTAGTACACTTACTTGCTAGCAACATCTGGTAAGTCCTTGACAGCTTCTTTCTTTATACGCAGCCACATCTTCACTGCAGTAGAAAGAGCGGAAACGGATGCAATTAATATGCAAGATATAATAGTTTTAAAGGAGCCATCCCAGTCACCGTTTCGTTTTTGACATTCAGCAAGGTATTCATGGGCTTTGATATAATTCTGAAAGCAAAAGAATTTTATCAAAGACATATTTCAGTGGGACAAAATATATTCATTTGTGTGTTTCTAGGATGTAAATTAATATTGCAATCAAAAGTGGAGAAGATAAAACAAAGTGGAAAAACTTATAAACAACTCGTTCCACTGACATCTGCTGGGCCTGGATTCTTTGGGTTGGAAGGAAAGACAAAAATGTATGTAAAGAAAATGTATTGTGATTTTGTGAGGATAAGAGGGGCAATAAATTAAATTATCTTATCAGATTCGATAGCCAGTAACTAGAAAGGATTTTCTTTTATATAAGTGAACACTGAGGTCAACACCAAGTATGTTGACCTTAATGGTCACTTTTATATTTACATATGCTCTATCATCAATACTGAACACTTTAAAATAATAAATAAAATATTATATATATATATATATATATATATATATATATATATATATATACACACACACAAAACATTTGCTATTTTGTAGCTGTCTGATCTGATATTCTAATTTATTAACCCCCTATTATCCTTAAAAATCCCAATATATTTTCTTTTCACATAGTTTTGTCTTTCATTCTGACTTGAAGAAGCCAAAACCAACAAATGTTGCTGAAATGGGATTTTTTTTATAAGCTTTTTCCACTTTGTCTCAGGAATAGCTTCTCATATAAATTGATTTTATTTAATACATTTGAAGATGGGCTTTTTTTTTTTTTTGTAGATTTTACAAAGGCAATTATTTGGAAATATTTTCTTAATATCAGTTTATTAGAAGCAAAAAATGTTAAGAAACAAAAATAAAACTATAACATGCAAGCATTGCTTTGCAGTTATGGAGATTAAGAAATTTTAACAGATTTGTCAATGTAATATCACTAGGAAAACAAAAAGTAGATGCCCAAACCTGTTCATTTGATTCTTCTGATAAATCTTGAGACTTCATCTGTTCCAGTAGCAGCCTGTATACAGCAATACCAGATTCATTGTGTCCATGATTATAACAGAAACGACCAAATTTCCTCAGCATCTGACCTAAAGAAGTTTAAAATACTTTTATACAACAGCATAAACATACAACATTATTATTAACATTGTTTTAAATGCGTTTCCCATGTTTCATTGATAATATAGTTTTCTAATGTACATGGTGTGATGGACAAATTGTCGCCATTTTATATTTTTAATTTCATGCATGCACGTCGTTTGTTTTTGTCAACTGCATAGCATAGTAGAGTCAGTTCGGCACCGCCTGGGAGAAAAGGAGCACCATGACGCAATTCACTCTACCAGAAATATGGAAACAACATGCTGTACTGCTTGGCACCCATGCCAGAATCCCCAATACAAACATTTCAGAGTGTTTGGGAGTCAATGTGAGGACAATGCAGAGCATTCGGAAAGAGTTGGAGGAGTCTAAGGGTGATTATGAAGATGTTTAGAGTGATCACTAGTGATGACGACATTATGCCTCCATTCATCTTCCCACAAGGCCTCAGACACAACACAGAGGCCTACATAAATCCCTTGACGAGATAGTGCTGCCTTGGCTCAAGAAGGTGGCTGCTGAAAAAACCTATGTCTGGCAACAGGATTTCGCACCATGCCACACAATCAGTAGAATGCAGTTATAGCTGTCAGACAATTTCTACAACCACATCACCCCCTTACATCTGGCCACCTAACTCCCTAGACTGCAACCCACTTGATTATTGTGTGGGGGAACAGTTGCACGAGAGACCAACAAAACTCCTTGTACCATGAAAGAACTGAAGGCAAGGATTATGGCAGCATTCACCAAATTAAACAAGAAGACCATCCAGAAGAGTTGCAGGAGATTCGGTGTCTGGAGATTGTGGTTGAAACCACTGGCAATTTTATTGAATAAATTTACTCTAGTATTTCAAGATATTTTTATGTAATTTTGGTAAATATATTTGTTATAATGATATGTCAGCGTTACTTTCATTTTTGCATAATTTACACAAAAATTTATCCATCGCACCTTGTCTATGAAATCACATTATTAATCCACATTTTTAACTTACTAATATAAACCATTTGCTTTTCTTTAGTTTTGGCTGAAGTCTCAGATAAACTTTGAACATCATTCATGTAATTATTCGCAACAGCCAAGGTTTTCAATAACCATTTATTGGAATCATCTGCAAATAAAGAATTGGAATGGATATAAACATTTGGAGACAATTGATATGACTCTTTAACAAAGAAATCAATCATACATAAAATCAATATGGAACACACACAATGGCAACCTAGTTAATGTCTGAAGATATAATACAACGATCTGGGGTGACCAGCATTGCCCAAGGAGAAAAGTACTTTATAACAAAGTAGGAAAAAATAAGTTTTTTTTTTTTTTTTTTACTCTGATATGGCTTCTTCCAATGGATGCCAATATGAAAAAATAGTTTTCTGATTCATCCATAAAACAATGTAACATAGAAGTTGTCATGGGAAAACTATGGAGAAATGAGGATGAGACCAGCCATTTTGAAAGCCTTGTTGATGATGTCAGCAAAACTAAACCTCACTGGAAACTAAAGTCCTCTGAATTGGGGGTAACACAAATGAACACATGATATTACTTCATTTGGTTAGAAATGACTTTTTATTCCTTGTTTTTTTTCATCAATTCACCCCAAGCAAGACAATAATGCCACTTAGATGCAAGGGGCTACTAGAAGTCAAAGGGAATGAGAAGTCTTTAGAATGAACTGAAAACCGAATCCTAAACAGGAAACAAGGACTAAAACTCTACACCTGTCTAAAAGACAATAGAGGAGTGTGAACTGGATGACAAACAAACCTATCTATTCCTTGGAATCTGGAATAACTTCTTATAGGCTATGTCACAACTGAAAATCTTGTCAAAGGAAAAGCATGGAGAAATCAGAATGAGGCCAGCCATTTTGAAAGCCTTGTTGATGATGAGAGCAAAGCAAGATGTCACTGCAAATTGAAGGTACTTGAATTGGAAAGATATGAACACAGGATATTACTTCATTTGGTTAGAAATGACATGATATGCTCTTTAATGACCCCTGGTAAAGTTGAATAACTTCTCATAGGTTACTTCTTATGTCAAAAATGAGGGCAAACAATTTTTGACATGATCATGGAAGTCGCATAAACAAACAGAAAACTCTAATAAACTGATACCAAGTAAATTTAAAAGGCTGATTAAATGGAAAAAAAAAAATAAATCAATGATTAATTATGGCATTTCTTTTTGCCTAAGTATTTAGCCGAAAAGGCATCTGTACTTTATTCAAATCCAGTAAAAAGGTTTATCAGATTACAGAATATCACAAAGATTTACAGTAAATCAAAATACACACATAAAACAAAAATTTTCTAAAATGATTTTTTGATAACATTATAAAAAAAAATAAATTAGAAACAGTGAATTTATATCAAAACTTATTTAAATATCTTCTGGAGGTATTCTCTCTATCACAACTGTTTTCTACACAAAGCTTAAAACGCAAGAGGATTACCGAAAAACTGATGACAATGAAAATGACAGTGATGAGAACATTAGTGACAATTGATTAGAACTCTTTAAAGCTTACTGAATAGTAAGGTTATATATATATATATATATATATATATATATATATATAAAATGTATGTAGAAGGCCAGAAAAGACATTAATTGAAATAGAAGACTTATCTGAATATCTGGGATGAGAAGATATCACCAATTACATTTACATTCTAATTGCCTCATTTTTGTTGTTGCTTCATCTAAAAAGGAGACAAGACGATATCTTTGACATGGACAACAGAACAAGAAGAATATACCCCTCACCCAGAGTTCAAAATTTACTGAAGGTTTACCTAGATTGACAGACATCTGATGAAGGCTGAAGAACACAACAACAGGCAAAATATTTTGCTAATAACAGCAAAGATTAGAATATTAGTTCAACTGTAAATGTAAAACGTTGAAAATGTTTGCATAAAAAGAAGAAATAATTAAAAAAAAAATCAAAAAAAAATCAAAAAAAAAATCACTAAATGAAAATAATGGTTTATCTTGAAATTTTTTTCTATTGTATTCTTTACTATTCAAAGTTCTATCATCATCTTGTTTGTTATGTTCGCGTTTCAGCTGTTGTACCTTCTGGTCTTCTTCAGGTGTGTCTGTCTTTGTACACTTTTTAGAGTTTTGAACTGAACCCTTTATTCAATCTACAATAAATTATTTTCGTGCCACTCTCTTTGCTTAAAGGACGATATCTTGTCTGTTATCCATTTTAACGTCATTTAACTTGTTCAGCTGAACAAGAGTGTCAGCACAACCATAATCTGGAGCAGGTCTTAACTTTATCTGACGTTTTGATATTGTACATAATTAGGCATATGGCCATATAATGTTGAAATGTTCTCATATGAACAGCAATGTCAAGCCTGGTCAATACCTAGATAGGTGACTGTTTAGGAATACCAGGTGCTCTAAGTATGGATGTGTGGGTGGTGTAATGTATAATGGCTCAGAATTGGAAATTGGAATGCCAAGTTTCAATTCCAATTGGATTTATTATATTCACTTATATGCAAATATCCCTGAGAAAGGTATGAACCCACCTCTTCTCCCTCTAACTATGGATTAATTAGTAGGATTTGTATCAGTAAAATATTACTACCCACCCTCCCAGAAATTCTTATGATCTAAAAATGTTTTATGGCCCTAAATAACCTACAAAAGGTTGATAAGCTGTAAAAAAAAAAAAAAAATTAACCCCTAAATGTATACACTCAAAACAATCGAATGAACCTAAATATTAAAGCTCACAACTTTTAGTTGCCGTCAAAAAAAAAAAAAAAAAAAAAAAAAAAAAATTACTCACCCGTTTCAAAAAGTGTGTAAAGAATTTCCATTAATATGGAATAGCTTATACACATGTACACATCTTGTCGACTGGCCTTGACTTTGTTCTCAGCAGTGTTTTCCTGTTGCAAACGATAATAACTATGCAACATTTTGATATGAGCTTCCAATAGCATTGCACTCACTTTAAGGTGACCTGATTTTAATTTACCTTCTTTTAATAGTTCATACTGAGATAGGCCCTCAATAAATATGCCACACGCATCACAGATCAAAGAAACCTGGCCAATGGTCAGTGTGTCTTTATTTACTGCAGCTGCAAGCTTTGTACTTGCATCTTTCACATTGTCAAACATAGATGCAATGAAAGTTTTAACAGTTTTCTTGGAACTGTCCCCAATGACTAGAATGGCATCACATAGTTTGAAAACGCTTTCTGTATATTCGTCGTCTTCAATGTGTTGGTCAAGGAAAGATCGCACGTTACGGAAATTCTTTGTGGAATCAGACTGCGAAATGTTATAAAAAGATATGAAACGTGCATGATGGACATGAAGCTCAAGAATATTAAGGAGAAATGCCTTGGGCTTATCTTCTTTTGCCATTGCAAGCAAAACGGTTTCGATAATGTTATTCCAAACAGCAGCTGATTCCAAATCGGTAGTGTGTACTTTATTAGGACACAAAGTAGACATTTGTTGACGAAACCTCAAGATAGTATTACCCAACTTTGTCACCAGTGAGGGCAGGTTTTTAGCTTTAAGGGCTAATAGCCTGAGGGACATGTGTCGTACTCGGAGTGACAAAATAAAGTCTGTAAAATTTGGTTGCTTCTCCAGTTTCCCTGCAAAATTCCAGAGAATTGCAGGATTGGTAAAAACATCAATATTATCCTCTGAATTGATGAGCTGAAGTTCGTTGTATAAATAAGTGGCAAATTTGAATGCATGATCCACGTAGTTAACACAGTCTACCTGAAAATTGAGTTAAACAACAAAATGAAAAAACAGGACACTTGAAAGAAAATGCTTCAATAACATTGTATACTTTGAATAACATTGAGAAAAGAAAAAAAAGTATATCATTTCTAGTACAGTTCAAGCAGAAATTGAGGATCTATGACTTACTTTAAATTATACATTTAAAAAGTTATTTGAAAGGTAAAAATTTGTAGAAATTTCTATTGGGACATTATTTTTCTACAAAATGCTTTAAAAAGGGTTTCCCAAACTGGGAAATATCATCCACCAATGGGAAATGAGCAACTGAACAGAAAATGATGGGCAATATAGGATTTTGAGTATTAAATTTGTTTAAATTGTTTAATTTTTTTTGTCAACACTTGCCATGTTAACCCTAAATATAACCTTGACCATCTTTGTTCTGTTCTTTTTTTTATTTTATATATATTTATATATATATATATATATATATATATATATATATATATATATAGTATTCAATAGTCAAGTTTGCTTCTTTTGTTTGTTGTTTAATACAATAGTATTAGCAGCAGCCACCGCCACATAAGTCCACGTTATTCGTTACCTCCCTATGGTATTTTTTGCTATATCAAAGTCAGTTTATGAACCAGTAACAAACTTACCAAACAATTTGGATATGCTTTTGAATATTTACTATACAGGTGGGCAACGATGCAAAAAAGGTTGAAAAATCCTGTTTTAAATGATGATATCAAGTGTATAGTGTTTTATGAACTAAAGATGTATGAAAAAAAAAGAAGAAAAAATCATATAAAAGATGTGATTACTGATAAAATAGAAACAGCAGAATAACCATATATGTACCATAAATCCTAAAAAATGCCAAATTTGGCTTAAGATACCTGTATTATAATAAATCTACAAAAATATCCAATGAAGACTGTTTTAAATAAAGATCAATTTCAAAGAATCAGTTATCATTAGTCAAAGTAGAGAAAAAAAAAAAAAAAAAAAAAAAAAAATGAATTGTTAAATTTGTTTATAACTTTATTGCACAGTTGGTGTTGTTCACCATTTTGTCCGATTCATTCACATGATAAAGGTTGAATAGACCAGCCAAAATATGTTAACAGCACCAACTATACAAAGAGATTAAAAAAAATGTTTTTTTTAATTTGAATAACAGAAAACAAAAGTAGTTTACTTAAAAAGGTCTTATAATAACAAATGACCTTTTTGAAGATTACAGATTCATCATAAATTATAAGCATAAAATAATTTTAAATATTTATAGTAATATGAAAAAAAAAAATACTTACTGTTTTTGTGATGTTCAGCAACAGTAAATGAAAGGCTTTTGGTAAGAAGAGAGGGTCATTAACTTTAACATGATTTCGAAAATGACTGTAGTATAGGTAGATGGCATCTATCGATGAAATTAAAGCAGGATCGACTCCAGAATTCACTATTGATGATACTGCAGTACGGAAAAATCCACTAACAAAATGTCCATAGAATTCTAAATTTGATTCTTTTAGTGGGGTTGAAGTAAATGCTGGAGCAAAAAAGTCCTGCAATCAAAAATATTTGAAACATTTCGATGTATTAAAACAAAGAAACAAAAAAAAAAATAATCAAAAACTTCTTTATAAAAATGATTTTCAAAGAAGGAGAAATTAGGCTAAAAAATTGAATTTCTAAAATTGTTTTGTTGTGAAAGTTAGCAAATTAAGCTATTTGATGGTCATACAAAAAAAAAAAAAAAATATTAGCACATGATAAAAGATGGCATTGGTAAACATGGACAATAAGACTGATTGCTAAAAGGACAGTTTTCCTATAACATTGCATTTTAACTAACTTCACTTCTTTGGCAATGTTTAGAATTGGAATAAAACCAAATGTATGAAAGTGAATTTATACATTTTCTTTGTTCTTGAGAGTTTACAACAAACACTATTAGATTGCTTATTTACACTATTTATATTATTTATTGCAATTGTTGGCCAAACATCAACTAATTGCCAATCAATTCAAGCTTTATAAAATGGTAAATAAAAAGTATTTTCTTGTAGTTATATCCCACATTTTAATAATTTAGTAAATGTTTATAAATTTATTAAAAAAAAATTGTTTTCACATTTATTTCTTTATAAATGATAAATATTGCATTGTATTAGTTTCTAGAATGTTGTAAATATAAAGTTATTTTTGTAAATAAACAATCTAATAAATATATAGTTTAATATTTTTGTTGTAAATTCTCATGAACAAAAAATGTATAAATTCATTTTCATATGTTTAGGTTTTATCACAATACTAATAATCACTTTTTAAAACAAACCATCCTTTTGTCACTCCATCTTATTGCAGGTACATTTATCCATATTTGCCCTTGCATTTATAAAAACAATTTCATAAATAAGCAGATTTTCCTTTTTATAATTTATAAAAGTAAGATACATAAAATGAGAGAGAATCAAATGCTTTAAAACAATTCTTTGTGGTAATAAAGACAAGATAAAAAAAAGCTCAAATATCTGCTTTTTAAAAATTTATTTGCAACAGTTTTACATTTTATGATAGTTGATCATTTTACTGATCAATGGCCTTCTGAATGAAAATGCACATCTTGATGAATGGTAGCAATAACACTAATTAGTAAAATTATGTTTGATAAAGACAAAAATAGAGTCAAACCCAGGACAATTCTACTAATAATTTAAGCTTTTCTTAATATAATTCCAAATGAAAAAACATTAGAATAGGAAGATTATGTTGCACCAATCTTCAAAATGAAGGAGACCTGTCTTGAAAAATTAAGATTCCAAATCCTGACTCTTACACAAGTTTAAACACCTTCCATAGCCAAAGTTGTAATTGATTGATTCATTTTCTATCAACCCTTTTTGCAGAAAATATTTTTAAATGGTAAGTTTCTTTTTCTTGAGATAATAATGGTTTATTAATACAAGTCTTACTAATTAACCCATATCTGGGAGGAGAAGTGGATCCATACCTTTTCCGAGGGTATTTGCAAATAAGTCAATATAACAAACTCAATGAGAATTGGAACTTAGCTCTCCGATTAACAATTCAAAGCCATTATGCCTGCACATTTTAACCAGACACAACATTGCTTAACTTTGGTGATTGTACATGGCCATAAGCCCAAAAATTGTAATGAGTGCAAAGAGGACCCTAGGTGTTATCAATATGACCAACACAAACAAATCAACTGAAAATATCATGATGCTATAGAAATCCCTTGTAAAACTTTTACCAGAAAATGTCCACCAGCCTTAGTAACCCAGACTTATCAGGGATATTAAAAAAAAAAAAAATAAGCTATTCAGAAGCAAGATAGTTTTCATAAATATATAGACCATAAGAGACTGAATTTAATATTTTATCCATAGAAGATACAAGAAATCAAGGTAAGATTTTGGATGGACCTCCAGATATTGCTTAGAGACAATAGCAAATCTTTGAGGACATCAAAAACTAACTCAGACAAAAAAAAAAAGAAAATAATGCATGAATTACAAGATTTATTTCATTAAAATACATTTTATATGGTATTATGATTTTTTGTTTTAACTGAAACTAAAATTGTCATTCCCAAGTAAGCATTTATGCAGATGACACTAGCATTTACTCCTGTCTCAATAGCAAATCTGTGAGAGCTAGTTAACCTGACCACTGCTCATGAAAAAGATCTCCAATCAGTGGTGAACTGAGACAGGAAATGGCTTGTAAATTTTAATGCCTCCAAAACTAAACCTCTCTCATTTAACTACCATAGAGAAACATCCCTGCCCACCATCAGCATAGCTGAAGCTCAACTCCTGGAAAGCATTTTGTTGCACGTTCTTGGCTGCACATTTTCAATTGATGTGAAGGGAAACAACTACATTTAATCAATAGCTGCATCTACTGCAAGGAAAGTTGGTTGTGTCATGCCAAAAAGTTTTTCCCGTCAGAGTCCATCTTGCACATTTACAAATCTACCATTCATCCATGCATTGCATACTGCTGCTATATCTGGTCTGGCACTCCTGCTATTCATCTAGAGATTCTTGACAAAATCCAAAGGATCTGCAATGCAATAGATCTTGACCAGGCATCTCGACTTCAGTCACTTTCTCACCAACATGATGTGGCTTCCCAGTCTTTTCTACAAATATTTTCATGGCAACTGTTCTGACAAGCTTTTTCCCTGGTGTGCCCACTACATGAATTTAAACATGCTACTTGACTGGCATTTAGGTCCCACAATTTTACTGTTGAAATAGATAAATGTAACTGCCACTTCTACTTCAACAGTTTCTTTTCTCACACTTCCTGACAGTGGAAATCTCTCCCGTTTACTTGCTTCCCTGAAAACTATGATCTTCAAAAATTTAAATGCAAAATCAATTACCATCTTTTATCTGTTTCTCAATTCCCCCTATACCCAGTCATTTCTCTCACTTTCACTCTCTGTAAACCCTACATACTAGTGGCATTTCTACCTTGGTTGAGGTGAATTGATTAAAAAAAAAAAAAAAAAAATTTTTTAAAGACCATATCATCTAGAGGTGGACCAACCAATTTACTAATTAAATATTCAAAAACATTAATTAATTCTATTAGAACCAGAATTATATTACAAAAACCGAAAGATAAGAATTTGTCAATCAAACCTGTGCTATCAGAAAATTTATTTTTCTTGTGTAGTTTATTCTACACTGCTTGAAAATGTCTATCATTTCTTTTGGAAATCTTTCATTTTCCCGAAAAAATAAAAAAAAATGGTTAAAGTGAGGGGTCAGCTTATACTTCAAGTAAAATGGGGGTCCTAATTGTGTCTATTATTACAAGGATGTTTATGTGCTATACTACAAAAAACTAGACCCTGATTTTGTGTTCAATACTTTAAAATGATATGCCTATTGTCAAAATAGGTGTGCAATTTTAAAGTACAGAAGAAAAGAAAAAGAACAGAACGTGTAAGCAATGAGGAAGTTTTCAGGAAAATGGGAATAGCAAGGAGACACACTTACTTAGGAAAGAAGACTTGGCAATTTTGACACTTACAGTATACTAAAAAAGGCAACAAGGACAGAAGGTAACGGCGATCAACTTACCTTCTAACTGAATGCCAGAACAGAAAATAAGGGGGGGGGGTAGTAAGGAGACAAACATTGCTTAAGCGAGAGGAAGATGCGAAGAGCCATGACCGCCCACATCGGGGAGGAACTCGCTGCATAAAAGAAGAAGGGTTTGGGATTTATTACCGCCATAAAAGTTCTCAACTGTAGAAAAAAAAAAGAAATGTAACTTTGAACTGCTACTTTTTGCATAAAAACGGACACAAAGTAAGGGTCAAGTAAGCATTTTTAAATCGGACATCTTACGAAAGATTTAAGTTAATTTTCTAAAGTTAAAAAGTTATATTCGACACCTATACAAGAAAATATATGGGTCTAAAAAAAAAAAAAAAAAAAAAAAAAGTTCATAGGTTTGCTACGCCAAAAAAAATAAAAAAAAAACAAAAAACAAACGAACATTTTTACCTAATAATTAAATTTTTCAAATCATGTTTTCTTGTTCATCTTGTATAAATTTGAACAAAGTAAAGTTAGTTTCGAGAAATTAAAATAATAAAATTTAAAAATACTAATAACATAAAAATAAAGATAATATTTACTTTTTTGACTGACTCCATCTTTACGACGATGACATTTATTTATTAACTGATTGATATTCAAATTATTTTTTTCATGTCAATAAACAAAAATGCCAACCATGTATCTATGTGAATGAAACCCAGTAAAGTTCAATACAAAAAGGTTCCTGTTGATATTTTAAAAAAGAAAAAAAAAGTGGTTTTAAAAATATATTACTTACTTTTAACATATCCCCTATTTTAGTCCTTTCTTCAGGAGTACCAGATTTGAGTATTTCAAGTATCTTTTTCCCAGCAACCTGCATTTTCTCATATATACAAGGATCACATCAGATAATTGAATAAAATTAGAAAACAAAACTATACACAATATTAAGTAGATATTTTCTCACGTTCAGTGAAAGTCTCTTTAGACATTAAAAAACACGGTAAGCACATTTCTACTACCAGTTTTAAAATAACCGCCATTGTAATCCCGCACACACAAACTTCGAAATTAAACAAGATATTAATCATGTCGTCATAGTATAATCGTTAGCTTATAAATATAACGAGATTAAAATAATGTAAAAAAAAGTATTTTAATTTTAATATATGTTTCTGTGCTTATTTATGCGACGAAAAGAAAAATCTGTTAAATCATTGTTTGATGTCAAGGACGCATATTTACTGCCGCGATTACACTTTTAGTTTTACTCAACAACAAACATGAGCGACATGGAAGAACCGCGGTATCCTTGTTGTATTGCGCCTGTAGATACAACTTTTATGAGAACAAAACCTTTAATCGGAGGATCGACACTGACTGAAGAACAAGTCTTGGAAATAACGAATGCTAAACAGTTAGAAAATGTCAAACGTCTCAACGTATGGTAGGTAATAATAATAATAATGTTTTGTTAACACTTTGTTTGCTCGCTCGATTGACCGAATATTGTCATCTTCTTATCAAGTTGCATAAAAAAAACCGAAAGAGATTATCTTTTGGGATTTTTTTTGTGTATTTTTTCTTTATAATAATAACGAAGAGAAACTGTATGAATACTGTTATCAATTATAACAGTTTAAGCTGATCAATTATATTTAACAATTAACAAACATATTGATATAAGTTTTTAAGTTTGTACTTTAATTGTGCAAATAAATCAACGTTTCGTCGTGCGAGTGATTTTTTTTTTAAATGGGATTTTGTATGTAAAACTTCTAAAATACTTGTAAAATCCGTTTTAATTTAAAAAGATCCAGATGAGAGTGTTAATGTTTATTTTTATTTCCAAATAATAATCATTAAATTTGTAAAGTTTTGAATTAAAAAAAAAAAAAATCAAAATAAAATATTGACTGACCATTGACCAATAACTAAAAAAAAACTAGTGATTTAGTATTTAAATTTTAAAATGTTTCTTTTTTAATTTTATTTTTCTTCATTCACCGTTTATTTATTATGCCTCATTGTTATTTTTTTATTTTTTTTTTCTGAATTAAATGTTAATAATTAAATTAAATAATTTATTATTGTAAAAAAACAAAGTCATCGTCAGAAAAAAACGAATCCTAATCAAAGAGGGAAATAAAAACTTAATTTTTAAAAATTGACTATGATTCATTAAGTACAGAAAATGACTTAAAAAATCATTTTCGTTTATTCTTCTTACTTGACTACAGAACATAAACTGGTCAATTGACGAGAAACTGAATAAAAACCCAATATTTTATGCCAAAATTAACCTTTTTCTCTGTATTTAATTTTAATTTCTTTTACAACTACAAACTATTAAAAAAATAGTCCTTTTATTGATTCTTTTATTATTTCGGTTGGTTGGTTTTTATTTTTAAAACTTTTTTTCTTACGTCATTAAATAATATTAATAATTTAATAAGAATAAAAAAAACAAATATGCATATGCTTCGTTTTGTTATGTTTTTTTTTTGTTTTTTTTAAGGGCTGAAGTGAATTTTTTTCATTATTTTTTTTTTTAATTCCAAGCCTTCGATGCACTTTGCAAAAAGAAAAAAAAAACCCAAATCTTTGTTTCTTGAGCGTAAAATAAAATAATAAAAGAAAACATTTAACGAGCACTTTAAAAAAAAAAATTCTTGGAAGAAACTCATATCGTTGAATGGTATTTATTTTTATTTTAAATTATTTAGAAATATAAAAAATAAAAAAACACAATCTGAAAAAAGTGTTTTAAAGATTTCTTTTTTTTTTTTTTTGTCTATTAATGAAAGTGTGAAGAACAGGTGGTGACGGAGAAATACAAGAAGAGTTCTTGACACATTCCCTTGTGTCGGGCGGGGAGGGGGGTAAAAATATCTCTCTCTCTCTCTCTGGTGACACGAAGAGGGACATTTTATTTTCATCTCCAGTTTCAAAAGCTGACTCAACCCAGCAACAGCATTCCTGGCCAAGAATGGCTTTTTATTTTGATCTTACTTGATTATTTTTATTATTTTTTATTAATTCACAATTATCAATAGACGAGTTGATATCTTCATTTTTTTTTTTTTCATAATTAATTTTTCTTTTTAGTTTTAAATGGAATTTCTGACACAAGTAGAGGCTTTTTTTTTTTTTTTTTTAAAAAAAAAAAAATGCGTATTTCTTGTCTTTCTTTTTTTTTATTTAATTTTTACTTAAAAGCACTTGACATAGTTTTGTTGGAGATCTTTATTGTTCATTTTACTTTTTCCTTTTAGTTTTTTTTTTTTTAAGTGATTTTTTTTTTTTTTTTTTTGTATTACAAACTTATTTTGTTTCTTTCGGGTTATTTTTGTTGAAAAAAGAAAATGAACACGTTTTTAGAAAGTGATGCTCCTAAAATAAATTTTGAGAATTCTGTATAAAAAAAAAAAATAGTATTTGCTGTTTTTTAACAAATACTCATGTGAAAGTACCTTTTTGAATTTGTGGAGTTTTTTTTTAAAAAAAAAAACTGTTTTTATTTATTTTTAATTTATCACCCTTACGTGAAAAGTAAAACGAAAACAAATAAAGAGGGGGAGGGCGATTTGTTGAAATAAATGAAATGTCATGCAACAAAAAACTAATTTTTCCCCAAAAAAAACATACAACTGTTAAAAATTTTAAATAAAACCTAAAAAAAAAAAACCTAAAAAAAAAAATGGTAATGCCTTCAAAAGACAAAACCAAAACAAACAAAAAAACAACAAAAACAATTTTATCGTCAAATTCTTTTTGTGTTATTATTTAAGACGCAAAGATCAAAGGAATTGTCATGAAATTATTTTGGATCCTTTTTACAATGTTCGAAATTTTAGTTAATTTTTTTTCTTCCTTCAGCTGGGTGAGGGTCAAAGATTATTAGGGAGAAATAAACACATTGATTTGGAATTTTTTTTATAAAAAAAAATTTGGATTTTAATGAAACTTTCGGAACTTAGGCATAATGAATGAATGGAATTATTTTTTTAGGGTTTTTTTTTTTTTTTTTTTTTAATCTTAGTAAAAATATTTTTTATTTTTTTACATTTGTTTTACATTTTGTCCTGCTAAATGAGAACTGTTTATTTCAAACCTCAATTAATTTTTGTAACACTCGACCACCAGTTACGAAAGTCTGCTCTGAACCGTAAAATAAAAAAAAATGTAATAATTAATAGCACTAAGACTTTAATTACAAAAACTTAATTAATTTTATGGATAAACTATATGCTTATGTTATTATTAAGAGGAAAGACCAAAGTGTTTTTAATTATTTTTTTTAATTTTTCCTTTTTAGAACATTCTTAATTTTCATTAAAAAAAAACTTGTTTCTCTTTGTATCACCAGAATAACATACAATTTTTAGCACGTTTTTTTTTTTTTTTTTTTTTTTTTAGCGCATTGTAAATTGTATCATTTTGACTAATCAGAAGATCCACGGTAATTAAGAAATGTAATTTTGTGTTTATAATCGGACTATAATTATAAAGACCAACCAGAATGCATTTAAGTTGTGTTATCTGAGTTAAGCATTGTTCTCCGCTAAGGCTTTTACTTTTGCGAAACACGTGTGGAGAAGTTAATTTGATTTTTCAATTTCAACTGAGAAAGGTACCTACAAGTATCAGTATCATCTTATGAAATTTATATGATCTTATTTTTATATTAATCTGTTATGACATTTTTCCATAAATGAAATATCAAAATTAATAATAAAATGAATGGAAATACAAATGACACAGTAAAATGTAATAAATGTACATAAAATTATAGTATTTTATGTACACTTCCGATAAAATTTCATAAGAAAGGTACCTATAAATTAATTAGATACCTTTCTTATGAAATTTAATCTTACTCTTAACAGTCTTATTTTAATTTCTTTATAATATATTTTCCATAAAGCATCGTAAACATAAAGGTGAAAGCTAAGTACAAAAAAAAAATTAGAGCACTGAAAGTTTTCCTTAAGAATAATGAGGTAAATAATTTGTTCACTTAAATGTAAATTATTTCACTTTTCTCCTTCCATAGAACAAATTAGCCTCACAGAATCCGTCAATATGTCATTCATCACCTGTCAAGTTAAACGAAAGTTTATGACCTGCTTTGTTTTATTTTCAAATTACGTCTTTTCAGTGCAGAAGCTAAGTTAAGCTTGGATCAAAATATTTTAAATAAACATAATTTCTGATTTTCTTAAAATAAGTTTTGAAAAAATGATAATTGATATTTAAAAGAATTTCAAAGTGAGATTTCCAGTTTTTTTATAAAATGGAAAAAAAAATGTACACTTTTGCTGACTCAAAAAAAAAGACATTTCACAAAAATGCTAGGAACAATTAAAAAATGTAAAAAAATACCCCAAAAATACTTTGATCTTTCCTCTTAATAATAACATAAACATTTAGACAATAAAATTTTGTTTTCATCAAGTTTGGCATCTTTTTCATCATGCTATACTCTTTTTTAGCGATCTCATGGAGGTACCTAATTTTATAACTTTTAAATCTTAAATTTCTACATTACTTTGTCTCGGTTTGGTTAGGTGATAATGTTATTAATTAAAAACTATTTACTAATCCTGGAACTGATTCGCTAACTATCAATATTTTAAAAAGAATTTTGAAATTTTTTCTGTATAAACGTGCAGATTTTTGTATATACGAACGTTCATTTCATACATAACAATAACATTATCAGAAAATAAGAGTGATAACTATAGTAAAGTACCTAAAATTCTATAAAACATTAAATTATGGGGAATATTTTCCTAAATTAAGATTTACTGAGTACTTAAAATTATGTAATAAAAAAATAATGTACTCGCATTATATATTTTTAAAAAAAAAAAACAATTTCACAAATATATCCACCATAGAAAAAAATGAGATGAATTTCCATCTATCAGTCAAACTGTTAATTTGTCAACTCCTTAAACAGCTACATTACAACCATGTTTTAAAAAAAAAAATGCATTTCTGCAATATTTTAAATTTAAAGTAATATTTGTTTCAAATCAGCTGATACTTCTCAAAGTTTCAGAAAAGTATATTTTATTTTTGAAAGATTTTTTTTTAATAAAATGAATTACATTGTGTCAGAAGATGGCTAAAAATGGCACAAAAATCAGCAATGTTATTGATTTCAAAACAAGAAGTCCTTTCAGTCAATTGAAATTAGTTTTGAAATACCGTGTTGTGATGTGGGGTCTGGCAAGACACAAAACTTGACAGTCACTTGTGATATTAGTACTTCAGCTAGAAAAGTTACTGCAATAGAACTATCTTCTTTCCCTCTATAGACAATTATTCAGGACTACTTATCATGAATGAATCAGTTCATTCATGACATTAAGGAGGTAACTGGATCTTACCACAACATAGAGCAAAATATTTTGCTTATTGAAAATATTAAATTTAATC